GGTTTTCATGATTCTCTCTACCATCTACTGTTTAATTTTCTGAATCATCCACCAGCATATATCATCAATACCACAAACTATATGGGAAGAGGGAACTAAAGCATTCCTCCCCAAAGTTACAGTTAATTCATCTATATTCCACAATTTATAATTTTTGACAATAACAAACGCTACTATGAATCATAACGATATAATGATAATAGCAGTGAAAATTGCCACTCATATCATAATAGTGAATTGTAACGAAGTGATAATTATGATGATAATGATAATTAATAATGGTAGTTATCATTCCTTACAAAAGTGATTGTGGAATTGTTATGACGATGCTGTAATAGCAGCTACTGAAATTATAGTTTTATAATTATTATTATGACAACAACAATTATCACTATATTTTTCGCAATTCATTTCTCATTTCAGGTTCATGAGAAGGACTCAAGTAACAGAATCAAATACTAGATTTCAAAAGTTCGCAACCGATACTAACACAGTATTCTTAAAAGGCAAATATCTCATAAAAGTAACAAAGAGTGCTGTTACTATGGTTTGTGGTGCAAATAGTAATGCCCCTCACGTTATCAATTGCTATCATGGTGATAATGATTTTAAAATTATTGTGATCATAATAGTTACAATTAAACTGAAGGAGAAATAGATATTGAGAAATATTCTAAATTAAAATATTAGAACTCACTTGTAATGATAATTATCCCGGTAGTACGAGAAATACATTGAAGAATTTGGAAAATGCGAAGATGATTAGGGTGGAATGAACTATAATAAAGCAAGTGCATACAAAAACTTTCCTGAGAATCATTCATGTCTACATTGAAAAAAACCTGGTAATCCTGGATAAGTGAGGTAAGGTTTTAGGAAATCAGGTAGAAACCATGCAAAGAAGACATTTAGCAGTAATTGTGAATGAATGAAAACATTTTTGCCCTCAAAAATATTTAGGTAATTTCGGGTACAATTTAAACAGAACCGAACTGTCATAAAATGCATTTTTGCCTTCTTACTCATCATTTATTACACAAATTTCTATCATTATGCGCATTGCAGGAGCGTTAATTAGTCCAGAACATTTTACTTCTTTCGAGAAAAATGGAATTAAATGAAGCCTTAAAATGTGATATAATACAATATATGTTTCATGAATAGTTTGGGTTATTTAAAAATATTCTGTTCTCAATCACCGAGTTAATATTTCATTATTCCGCATAATACAATTAGTCGCATTTTCTCAATTAAAATGGAAACATTTGCAGCAACATATCTTTTATCAATCTGAACAAAATCAATTTCCCTTCTGCTCTTAAACAGATGTATGTATATGAAAAGCAACTTTAAAATGTCCTGAAGGAGATATTACCAGTAAATAATATAGCTTTCTCCACGCCTATCATCTATATTCCATATACTATTTGGAAACTTTCTTCCTCCATCATTCTTTCCATCTATATTATCCACCATGATCTATCTTTACCAATGCTACCCAGCGATAAGAGAGAGTTTGAAGTCCAATAATTCTAACAGTAATTACAAAAATACTCCGATAAAATTGTCGAGCATAACATGCCGGATATTGTAGTAAGCAGAAAAGCGGAATTATGAAATGACTGATGTCAACGCAAGTGTTAATGAATAACCAACGACATGAATATCAGAATTTGAAATCCCAAATTATTTAAAAAAAAATGATTGTAGTAATGATAGGAGCATTTAATGCTAAAGGAATTGTTATAGCATTTTTGATAACGTTCCATGGATAGGCTAGCATTTTAAATGAGATCAGAATCCCCCAAATGAGATCAGAATCTGAACAATAAATCGATAAGAATTAGGAAGTGACTCGTACTGCTAAAGGCATCACAACAAGCGATAATCATTTCCATATGATTGCTGAGTGAAAGCGCAAAAAACTGCAAGTTCTATAAATATATATGTACCTACTAGCATTAACATATACATTTAATAGATACATTTATTAAATGATACAAAGGGAAGAAAAAGAAAACATAAGAATGAAACGGAAACCATCTAAAACAAATTTCTTTTTCATAAATTTTAAACAAAACAATCCCAAAAGCAACATGTGCTCATTTTAAAATGCAATTCCGAATTTGCTTTTAGAAATGAGCAGTAAGAATATCCGATTGATTAATCGTCATTATTTATCATTATTATCATTCTTAAAAATAAACTAAAAGGAAGAAAGAAAATAGTGGAATGAATAACCAACATATCATTATATCCTAATATATTGATATAGCTTATCCGTAAATCTTAACCTGAGCACAACATAGCACTAACAATGATTGGTATGATTGTTGAATGCCTGGATAGATAAAGCTGGTGTAGGGCCAAACCAATTCAATTGTTGGTTATATAATATTTGAACTGCATAGAAAAAAACTCTACGAAGACGAAATGATATTATTCCATGGGTCAGTATGATATCAGTGAGATTGAAATAGCAATGAAGAGTGAAGTGAACCAGTGATTGATACAGTTACATAGATGATATGATGAACAGATTGATGATGTACACATAATTCAAAGGATATAAATGTGTCAAATAATATGTTAAAAACAGAGAACAACGAGAAAGAGCATGCACAGATTTATACGTTTTCTATTGAATAGATTAAAGAATACTAACGAGCCAAGAAGTTGATAAATAAAAACTAAAAAATGAAAGGTGAAATTAAGTGACCATCCGACACTTTTAATGCTATTAGTAATTAGCAATTAGCAATTTAACATTTTGCAAATGTTAATATAATGAAATTTTATTATGCTATCTTACTATTTATGCTATCAAATTTTATTATACTATTACTGTCTTCCTATCTTACTACTAATTGAACGTATCACAATGAAACATAGAGTTTTCGAAATAAGCAAAGGAAGATGATATCTCATCACGATATTTGCATATGTCGCATGACAATTTAGCTATGAAATTTAAATTTACTAAGCAATTAATTAATTACTAATAATTTTTTAAGACTGAAACAATATAAATGGGAAAAAAGTACGCAATTTTAACAATAAAAAGGCTATTTAAAAGAATTTTACGGAAAAAAAATGTGAAAAGAGAAAAAAACTGAACGATACGTAATGCGAATCTTTCCTGATTTTCATCAGATTAAAACAAAAAGCGAAATTTTGGAATAAAACGAAAAAATTGCTTTCAAAGAAATAAATAGAGGTGATGAAAATGAATGAGTCATCATCATTAACTGCCAACAACAATACCCAAATCCAATACACACACACACACACACACACAGACATGCAGATACACAACCCGCACACACACACACACACACACACACACACAGACATACACTTACATCACTGATGACACCAATGGACGAAGACAAAATGTCATTATGATCGTCTAGAAATGGCTAAGAGATAGATGATAGGCTGGATAAGATGAGCATTCAATTATTATCATTTATAACTATTTCAAGTTAAAAGAATAATGAATGCGTTGTTGCATCTTATTTTATAACTGTCATCTATCTTATTTTTCTGAATCTTGTTGCTCGGAAGGATTCAGATGAAGGATTTGATTTAGATGAAGTTAAATAAATTAGCAAACGAATTTTTCTTGTTACTATTTACATATTTAAATTCGGATGCAAAAATTTGATTAAGGAAATGAATCACTGTTGTTAACAGCATTCCAGTCAAGTTAGGCATCGTAAATGAAAGTAGTAGAATAATGTGATAACATATGATCACTAAGGTGAATGATCACTAATGAAAGGGACAAAACAGGAAGATGCATGGTGACATATGCCAAATTCATGATAGAAATGATCGCATGTCAAGATTCCCTTGCATGATAATTATATTTATCATTTAGTGAAATCAATATTTGCCAAAGCAACTTTATATCAAATAGAACGTAGACATAGTTAAAATTAAATGTAAATTTAAATTTTAAAAATTAATGCTCTTAAAATATAATAGAATAAATGAATAATCTGAACAATTTGTTCGAATCATCATTCATCGAACAAATATTCCATTTGTAGTGGCGTAAAGCTGACATGAAAAGTGTGAAGACAAATTTTCCATTTCTTTGAAAGCGTATCACAAAAAATGAAATGGCTTTCAATTCCTTAAATTTCATCATTTTTTTTCAAACAATAGTAATTCCATAAGTCATAAGAATGAAAAGCTTCTTGAGCTGCAACTTTTCGGAATTACATGTCAATGAATTTTAAAGTTATAGAACGGAAGTTAATCCGGAAGATGCAATTATATAGAGACAGTTACCTGCCAAAATATTTAAAATCACAAAAGAAGATTTTAAAATAGATGTCCTCTCTACAAATCAAAATACTTCATGGCTACAGTTATGTAAATATTTCATTTTTTGGTATGAAATGAAATCTTAGATCCCTTTTTCTGGGCAAATTTTAGAAATAAAAAGTTACTGGTGAATCAGCTGTTGATTAGCTGGTCAGGACCGAATTTCAAAACATCAAGTTTCTTACGTTTATCATTCAACCTGTATATAGCTAAACGGCTATAGACTATATATGTGAACTTTGAGATTCTAAGATGAAAATAATATTAATTGAAGCTTTTATCAATTGTCGGTAAAGATAAGTGAAAGTTCATAATCGTTACTGCTATCATCAGTCGTTTATTTAATAATTTTTCAGTTATGAAATTTAGTCAATTTGATTCAATGTTGATTTATATTACGCACTAGAAATATAAATTTACCTTTTTCTTCCATTCCAATGAATATCTGCGATTTCTGAAAATTTGAATTCGTAATTTCTTTGAGTAGATATTTCTTGGTAGAAATTATGAAAATTTTGATGGAATTTGAAAAAGTTCAGAATTTAAATTCTTCGAGACAATATTCTGTCAGGTTGATTCCACATCTTTTGTTTTATAAAAGCTTGTCATTTTAATTTGCAGTCAATTTATTTTCTTTTCATAGGACGTTTGCTGGTTGTTCACCAATGCAGCAGGAGGATTCAGAATCTAATCTGTACAAGCTACGAAATGCATATGATGATGATTTGATGATTATTCCTGAAGTTGGTGTTAATTATATTTACAAGAATTTAAATTTTCCTGAATGAATTTACATGGCTTTAGTTGTACATTATAGATGGTTGATTCAGCATTAGCACACTTTTTCATGAAACAATTATGGAAACCGATGAGCTTGGAAATACGCATTGTGCCGGAAATTCAGAATCGTCGTAATATGACGCTTATTATAGGAGATAAGGAGTCTATGCACATCGAAGAAAATAAGGTAGTCGATTTCATGTATGCTTTTCTTTCGGATTGCGATGTAAAATTGAAAATTCATAAGTTTCAAAATTGCTGATTTCTCGGAGTTCTCTAGGAAAGTGAAAAAATATTGAATCATCTGAAATCTTAATTAACATTAGTGTATGCAGTATTTACAACCATGTGTATGTAAACGTCAGTTGGAAAAAGAAATTCAAAAACTTCGATTACATTTGGCTTTCAATGAAATACGAAAGCGATGGCATCAGGTTCTTTAGTTTTGTTAAAAATATTTCATACTTACATTCATCTCGAATAACTAAAGAGATAGTTCTTTTGATGACCAAAATGTCAGCTTTCCAAATTCTCTTAATGATTCTTTTCCAATCAGTAATTTTACAGAAATTGATTACGAACTATATCAAATTTAAGGTATTAGCTGACTCACGGTTCTGTTTCCAACTTATGATTGATTCATATCTGAATGCATCATAAAGAAATCATAATATTGCCATTTGATGGGGATAAATTTTACAATTTCACAGGTATATTCGGGAGACATAAACACGAAATCGCTTTACAAACAAGATCTATACATGTCTAGAACCGGTAGTAGTACATCAACCGCCAAACCGATAGCTACCGCTGTCCGCAGAAGTGCGTCATTTAACTGGCAAAGTTACGTCGGAGCTATTCCATCCGGCCATTCCACGTTACATCGATCTTGTTCATTCTAATAAATGCTAAGATTCATTTCTAATCATTTCTAATTTGATTCATATCTGAATGCATCATAAAGAAATCATAATATTGCCATTTGATGGGGATAAATTTTACAATTTCACAGGTATATTCGGGAGACATAAACACGAAATCGCTTTACAAACAAGATCTATACATGTCTAGAACCGGTAGTAGTACATCAACCGCCAAACCGATAGCTACCGCTGTCCGCAGAAGTGCGTCATTTAACTGGCAAAGTTACGTCGGAGCTATTCCATCCGGCCATTCCACGTTACATCGATCTTGTTCATTCTAATAAATGCTAAGATTCATTTCTAATCATTTCTAATATTTATTTGGCATTCCTTTTACATGTGTCAAACATTGGTCAAACCGGATTTCAAGAATCCAGTTTCTTACTTTTATGATTCCACCTGTATATGGCTATGGGTTACATATATGGAACTTTGAGATGAAAAGGATATTAATTGAAGTATTCATTCGTAAAAAAAAGTCAAATTCGGATTTCTTTGCGGAGTTAGCTAAATCGTAATCATTGCTTCAAATGATTTTTAATGAAAGTTCATTAATAGAAAAATGTTCCGCTGTAGTATCATGTAATTTTAAATTTTATGATAGCGTTCGTCCAAAACAATGGAATTTGAAGTGTTAAGCATCATTTTGTATCGGAATGGATTATTGTCTTATATGTGACATTTGTTCTCCACAACAATTAATGACAAAAGGAATCTTAAAAAAAAGGCAGTTCGAATAGTTATCAACTGAATCCGACATTTTGTTGTTTCTCATTCAGCAAGTTGTAGGAATATAATCATTTCTCCTCTGTTTTTGTTCGACGAAATGAAAAATTACAGAATCTTTTAAGCTCGATTTGCATATTAATAGAGTTTAATGCAAATTTTTGAGTTTATTCTTAGTAGAGGCTATATCTCAGCGACACCTATGAATCGCTATCTGAATCATTTCCATTATGAAATTATTTGCGAACATGACGAAGACTTTTGCCTTCGTTATCACTTGCAATTATAAATTCCACTGCTTTACCCTCGGCGATGTTCACTTTTTTTCCCATTGAATTGCCCTTTCGTAAACAACTTTTCTTTGGCTCAAATGAAATATTTTATGTAGCTTCAGTATATATATCTTCTAGAAAAATCACGAATATTCTAGCAACTTTTTTTCAACAAAATTCACTATTTTGCTTTTAATAAACGCCAAAAATATAATTTAGCGGACATAGTATTTTAACTTTTACGGCATATTCACTATGGAGAAATTGGAGAAATGGTGATCGTGAAAATTTTTCATTTTTAATGAATGCTTACCGCAACGGCTTTTTGTAATTTTTGTCGTTCTCGGGCTGCAATAGCGCGTACATCGCTGTTCATCGCAACTGATGGAGCTTGAGCGGCGGAAGCCGCAAGTGCACTTTGTACCCAATGTCTCGCTTCCATTGTTTCCGGACGTTCTACAACGGTTGTTACGAAACGATTTGCCTGGAGACTTTTTAGGAGAAGCTCACGACACACATCTTTATCAGTAACCGGATGACCGTCGATATCAATCAAATGATCTCCAACTTGCAGCTGCTGCGATGCCAATGAACCCTGATCGCATCGAGACACCAGCACCCGATTTTGGTAGTGCTTAATACCGAGACCAAGTCTAGGGCCACCAGGTTTCCACTCAAGTCGAGCCACCTTTAATATAATCAACTTGTTCTAGAGATTAAATTTATCTGAATTTCAGAATTTTCATAAAATATTTTGTCCCATTTTGAAGTCCCTGATTACCTTTCTGTCAGAAACTTTTAAAAAACGAATATTTCGGTAGATTATTAATAAAGTGAAATTATTACAATAAACATAACATACAAAATATATATAACCATCACGACGAGTGATTAATTTAGCCCGATCCGGAGGTATGAGAACTTTGGCTTCAAGTTCAGCTGCCTTATTTTCATCTCTCACCAACGTTATGGTAGCACATGGTGGCGCAAAACGAAGTAACTGAAAGAAATGGTCGCAATTTTGAACAACTGTATTGTTTAGCTTCAACACTTGATCGCCAATCTGAAATAGAATAGGTAAAGTGTTAGACCAAATATTAATATTATATGATATTAGTTTTGATATATCTTTTTGCTAAATTCACTTCTAATTTTTTTTCGCAATCTTTTTATGTATGTCAAGCAACGATCAAAATCGGATTTCAAAACATTATGTTTCTTACGTTTATCAATCCACCCGTACATGGTTACGGGCTACAGACTATATATATGAGACTTTGAAATGAAAAGGATATTAATTGAAGCATTCATTAATTGTCGGTAAGGGAAGTCAAATTCGAAAATTTTCTGTGATTTTGAATTTTATGACATCAGTATTGAAACGTTAATAACGATGTCAACAACCGGTTCTGATAAAGGACCTTTCTGAGGATTCAGCACGATAGCAGAATTATTTACAAGTAAACTTTCAAAAAAACCTTAAGGTTTCCTTCAGCGAGCGTACCCGGTTGAACCTTAACAATAATTAGTTTATCATTGGGAACTGCTCCTAGCGGATCGCCTTCCTCCATCGGTATTGCAACCGATATTTCCTTTGCCATCGAATCACAACCGTTGGAACAACGAACTGCTTCCGATAAGTCACAACTGAACCAAATGACGCATAACTTATCTTCCCGGTTTTTATACAGTTGCTATTGGAATGTTGCAATGTTTTCCTTGTGCAAAATTAGATTAATGAAAAAAAAATTGCTTATATAAATTAAATGGGATTGAATACGAACATGCAAATTGGTTTTTGAAATTTAAATTTGGATCCAAGTTTTATGGAAAAAGGACTTCCATACAAAACAAGGAGAATCATGGTATTTCATTATCACTTCATTTCATCTCTTCAATAATTAGAGATTGAATGATACACATTTGTGCCAAATGACTTATTCATTTTTACGCTCGGTTTTCAAATTTAAATTCTTTTTTCCGTAACCATTTAGATTAGTTCATTTATTTCATATTTAATTGCCTTATTCACTTGCACTTGCTTACAATATGAAAATAGAATAGAAATAAATACATAAATGATGACAGCTGTAAAATGCTCATTCATCAGTAAAGTTTTATATTCTTCATCAACTCATTTTGCGTCAATGTTTGCCGATGTTTTTCTGTTAAAATATCGTTTTCATTGCCTGAAAAACATTTCATTTTGAATTTAAAAATTAACGCCATAAAATGGTATTGTAATTCTTTGATTTCAGTTACACTTTTACTTCGAAACTTTTCAGCTTATGTAAATAATTATTTCTATATGGCTAAGTTCAAATATAAATTGAAATTCATATAAGCAGTACCTAAAATTTTCATCATTACTTTCATCCACGACACGATCTTGAGATGCTGTTGCAGTTTGCAGAACGGATGAATTTGGTGAGAGTGACCTGACCCTAACTCTAAGTATGGACCTTCTTCTATCCTGGAATCTGAATCGTATTTCGGAACCCACAGTAGAAGTTCTGATAGTACCAGCTACTCTCCTCAAATCCTCTTCACTTTCATGTGACCGTTGCTCACTTCGACTACGACGTTGTTGTTCAACACGCTGAGAATGACTGTCACGTTCATTTTCATTTCTATATAATCGTATTAATCTTCCAGCGATTCTATTTTCTGGGATTGCTTCAATTTGTTGAGCCATAAAATTCCGCACAATTTCAACTCGTCTGATTTGCATACGCGCATAATTAGGTGATAGTATTCTTCGAGGCTAAAAAAAGGTCCTAAAATTAAAATTCGAAAGGTAGAACTTTTAACTGAAGCAAACAGCAAACTAATGCAAACGATTTATCTTTTGCACGAGAGACAGAGATGGAAAGAGAGGAAGATTTCAAATGAAAATATACGCTGCTAGAGAAATTGGAAATGAAAAATAATATGTGGAAATGCACAACCAAAATAACCCAAAAGAAAAGGACCGACAAAATTCTAGAAACCTTCTTGAATTTCAGTTTGTGCTATTATTTGGCAGTAAATTTAATTACATTATTACCATTGGTACTAAGCTTAAAATTCGTGGTGATTGTCCATCACCCGTACCATTAAGGATCAAATTTCCGACGTAATAAACATCCTCATCCGTCATGTTATGACTTACTGCACTTTTCGTATAGCTTTGGAAGAGAAGAAAAGAGAAGTTAGTATTAGAGAACGATACAATCAGTTAGTTAACATTGGGTAAAAATGAATTTCCCAGTAGCTATTTCATTTATAAATAAACGCGTCCTTCAAACAATACTTAAATAATTTGCATAAAATACAAGAAGGTTACGTACCACTGTGATAACACCATATTTATGCTTATGTTATCATATTTATACTTAATGTAGATGTTAACATGTCTAGCGGAACCATAAGAACGTCATTCTTAAACGCTCAATGTGCTATCATAGATGTATGCTTTCAATTGCTTCTGACTCCTTGACACTTTGATTTTCATACCATTCTTTTGGTTGATCCATTTTCAGACCATTTCACTACGCGAAAATCCGGGAGGTTCATAAAGGTCGGGGTCGAGGTTCGTATTAGTGGAAAAAGTGTTGAAGTAGTTGTGGGTTAATCTGATTGAGGGAAACGGCATGGCAGTCGGGATAGAAAATTAGTACCAGTTGGTTTAGGAATTTCGTGATTTCTAGATACTCAGGTTGTGATAATTTACAAATAATTTCCGGCATTATAGGAAGAATCTTTGAGGTGGTCTTATGGTTTTAAATGTTGGTCACCGTAATGATGACTGAATTTCTTTTAGATTTTACCAAATAAATAAAATCGGAAAGAATTAAATATATACTCTTGAGAGGAGGGACTTTCGAATGATATCGATATTGAAAATTTGAAGTTTGTGGTTAGTTTTTACCGGATTTATATTTTTTCGAGCTTTGGTTTGGTTATTAAAATATATTGGAACATATTTCATCACTGGCCAAATCAAGGATCAGATGGATAACCAGACAGCGTATTCGGACTTCCCTGAGAGCGCTGATACTTGGTCACATTTACACTATTGACAGCGGAAACATTACATCAAATTGCTGAAATTTTCTGGAATTTTAGATAATTTGGAACATATATACCCATGACATTTCAATGGACACACATCCTGCAGATACATGTAAGTATCTCTATTAGGTAAAGATACTTTACAAATTTTTTGCATCAA